GTCTTTGGACAGCGATGGCTCTTCGGCTTGGATATGGAGATGAGCACCACCCCCTAGAGTTGGATTCAACTAGCTTTCGAGCAAGGGAAACCTTTACTTTACTTATTTGTTTCCAATACCAACTTAAGGTGCTGGTTCTTACATTCAAAACCCTTACCAACCAAGGACCTCCATACTTATTGGACCACCTCACAATATGTTTCTGTGCACTAATTATACTCCAGATGATCTCCTCCTCATTGTGTTCTCTATTAGATGTGCCAACCCAGACAAGGGCATTTTTGTTTGTGAGGCTACTGCTTGTGCAAAGAGAGGCAGACCCCACATTCCCTTGCAGTTTTTCATGGGCTTGTAAAGCTATGTCTTTTCAGAGTGTGTTTTTCAGATGAAAATAAAATATCAGAAGTTGACAGTTTTAGTGGTTTATCTTCATATACTGATTGCATTTTTGTGGTGATGTTTTTATATTTCAACCTAGAGATTCCCTAGGTATGCAGAAATTTCCCAATTTATTATTGGCAGCCCCATTTTTCTCCCTTAGTAACCAGGATAGGTCATGAACTTTGAAAAATCACAAGACAGAGAGAAAAATAAACAACTTAGAAATTCCTCTGCACACACACAACAATTTCCCCCTCCTGGATTCCAGAAGCTCACAGGGACTTGAACAAAGTAACTTTCCCCATCTTCCTGTGCTTTTTTTGCCATCAAGTCACAGCTGACTTATGGTGACCACGTAGGGTTCTCAGGGCAAGATATTTGTTTTGCCATTGTCTTCCACCACATCATGACCCTGGTACTCCTTGGAGGTCTCCCATCCAAATACTAGCCAGAGCCAACATTGCTTAGTTTCTGTGATCAGGCTAGCCTGTGCTATCCTATGCTTGTTTTTCCTTTAAATAATTCTCAACATTCCATGCCTCCAGAAGCCTACTCCATCATCATTAGATTACTGGGAAGGCATCTTTCTCTTGGTTAATTTTCAAAATAATATTTTTCTGCATACCTGAGAATTTACTACATATGCAGAAATTACTGCCGTGTCCATGGGTGGGCTAGTTATGCTGCTGCCATGACTGGTCCACTTAACTATTAGATATAGCAGTAATGGTACTAGATATAGCAATAAAGGCATCATCCAGATAAACACCCATCACTACACAGTATGAATAGCAGTATGACCATCACATACTGTGATGCAAACTGGAATGTATGTGTTATCTAAGATTATTACATGAGATTGTTACGGCAACCATATTAGTTGCAGGCAACATTTTATAGCAAGCCATTATTTTCAGACAGACACTGGATGCCAGGGTCTTTTAATTTTGGATTTTATGCTTAAATAAAAGGATGTTATTTTCATATGTGGAGCTTCTTCCAACGTCTGTGAACTAAGAGCCCTCAGCAGATCCAATACTAATATGATAAAAATGTATATCTGAAACAACTAACATGAAAGATGACAGAACATCCTGTTCTTTTTTGCTCACAACTGATTCATCAGATACCCTGTAATTTCTGCATTACTCAGTTATTTGGAATAGTTTTGTTGCACTTCACAGTGGATACTTTAAGGGTCTGTTGTTCAGTTACTCAGAAATGCAAATCTAATTAGCACTTTTTTATGTGCTCTCACAAAAATCACATTGCCAAGAAAAAAGTACAATTAATTTTTGTGACTCCTTATACTGTAAACGTAAACTCTGCATAATTTGTTCTTCACAGATGTACAACAGATGATGAAGGAAAAAAACCAGTCATGGTATTCTTTCAAGGCTTTGGCTTATTAATTAATTAAGTAATTAATTAATTAATTAAATGGTCTTATTTATTAAATGGACAAACAAAGAAAGGAAAAAACCAGTCATGGCATTCTTTCAAGGCTTCGGCTAATTAATTAATTAATTAAATGGGCTTATTTATTAAATGGACAAACAAAGAAACCTTTTTAGGTGTTGGACAACTTGGCATCTAGAGAGCACAAATAGAAAGCTAGATTAAAACAAACAGGATGAAAGTTCCAGCTCATCAGTTTAGCAGATACAGTTTTAATCATGTGGCTAATGTGAAGTTGAAATACATTTCTCTACCAAGTTCTTAACGCCTTACAATTCTAAACACTCACGGCAGAGCAGGTCTCACAGATCCTTGGTCCAACACTCTAACCACTACCTAGTGCTGGAATCAGAGGCACTACTGAGATAAGCATTTCTACTCCACCCCCCTCCACCTGCCCACAGGACTCAAAGTGGCTTACAAAGAAACAAAAATATATAATTTAGACAGACAAGTGACCAAAAATGTACAATACAATTCTACCTACTGAAGAGTTATTCTTCTAAAAATGAGAGAAATCTTCAAGCCTCATATGAATGGCTCAAACTCAACACAGAAACAATTCACCAACTGCCTTCCCAGTGTATTTCTATATATTTATAGAATGAATGCATACAGTTATGCAAGGAAATTTTTCAACAGCCCATCAAGTGTTGCATGTGCTTCTGCATGGTTTTGTGTATATTTTCTTAAATGTGGTTTCAGCAGCTGATTTTTAAATTACAAGCCAGCATATATCAGTAGTCTATAATTTAAGGCTACATGTGCAGTTACATCTCTCTTTTTATAACTAAAATGGCACAACATCCTATCCTGCGGGGTTCCATTGTATCAGTAGTCTATAATTTAAGAGAGTTACATCTCTCTTTTTATAACTTAAATAGCACAACATCCTATCCTGCGGGGTTCCATGGGACACAATCTTATCTCCTATGCTTTTCCATCTCTATATAATGCCTTTAGGACAAGTCCTTTGTAGTTTTGGGGTTGGCTGTCATCAATACGCTGATAACATCCAGTTCTATATCTCATCCAAATCTCCTGATGATGCAGTAGGTGTCTGCTGAATTGCTGAAATGTCTGCTATGATTAAATTGCTATGAATAAACAAATTCAAAACTAAATCCTGACAAGACAGAAGTAATGTTGCTTGGAAAGGCAGAGATCTTGAAGGACACTGTGCTTCCCATTTTTATAGGGTTCAGCTGACCCCTTGCTGACTCACTTAACAGCTGACCCTTCCTGAGTCACTTAAATCAGCACTACCACTGAAGCAGCAAGCTACTGCAGCTACCAAAACCTTCCAACTCATTCTAGCCCAGAAAATGGCCCCCTACTTTGATGCAACCAATCTGGTCACATGGATCCATGCCAAGGTAACACTCAGCTAGACTACTGTAATGTACGCTATATAGATCTTCCCTTGAAGTCAACTTGAAGTCTCCAGTTGGTGCAGAATGCCACAGCTTGCTTAATATCAAGGAGCTAAAGTAGTGGATGCATATAACTCCCATTTTGCAGTTACTCTGTTGGCTGCCTATCAGTTACTGGGCTCAATTCAAAGTATTGGCTATGACAGAGTTGTCAAACTCATTTGTTACGAGGGCCAGATCTTACATAAATGTCACTTTGTTGGGCCAGGCAATGTGTGCCATATAATGTAATACCAGGTACTGGAGATATAAATTTTATAAAGAACATATGCAAACCCAATTAGCAATAAATCAAGATGGGTAGCCATGTTAGTCTGTCTGTGGCAGGAGGAAAGAGCAAGAGTCCAGTAGTACCTTAAAGCTTACAAAAATTTGTGGCAGGGTATGAGCTTTTGTGAGCCACTGACGAAAGCTCATAACAATTAATATTATTATTTTTTACTCAAAATACAAACATGCTTAAAACATTAGCAGTCTTACAGTATTTCCTTACAGTATCTCCCTGATGCCCACCCTCCCACTTTCACTGTCTCTTATCTAATTGTCATCTGGCAATAAAGGTAATCAGTTACTTAGGGGCCAGATAAGAGCCCTGGATGGGCTGATTCTGGTCCATGGGCCATATGTTTGACACCCCTGGACTATGGCATACAATGCCCTTAATGGCTTTGGTCCCTCATATCCACAGAAGCACCTCTCCCTCTGGCTCTACCATGACAGCTTCAGTCACCTGCAAGGTGCCACCCTGCAAATGGGCAAAATCAACAACTGCCCATATATGTGCATTCTGTATGGTGACACCCACCTTATGGAATAGCCTGCTCCTGCTCACCTGGCATTCCACAAACTATGCAAAACTGAATTATGAAGGAACACTTTACCCAGATAATAGTTTGAAGCCTCAATCTATACCCAGCAGGAGTTCACAAACCACCTATAGGAAAGAAATTCATGGTGCCCTCCTGAACTTATATATTTAACAGACCTTTCATAGATATGAAATCAAACTGTAAGACAGTAGATCTTACAAAAGAACATACAGCAATAGGTATGATTGAGACAAATTTTGCAGTTGCTAGAGAAAACTTGAGGTCCTCATCGCTGAGCAAAAGAGCCAGGGTTTCCAGAGTTTAGGGGAACGGTTGGTTGATTAAAGGCTTAATATAGTGATCCCTTATATTCTCAAAGAACCTGCGTTCAAGCAGAGCATGGAAGGATGTATCTATCCTATTAAGGCTACAAGGCAGATTCTGTCAGAATATGGCCTATTCAAAAATCTCCCCTGTAAAACCATTGTAGGAATAATATTCAGTCTTGCAAACAAAAAAGCTCTACAGTAAGATAGTACATATAGGGATATAGATAGCATTAACAATTCCATCCCTTCCTGCCTGCACTGTATGGTAGCAGCAAGTGGCCCAACTACATATTCCATTGGGAAAGAATTAAGGAAACCAAAACAAATATCTTTTAAAAACCCTTAGTGGCCCAACTACATATTCCATTGGAAAGAATTAAGGAAACCAAAACAAATACATCAAAAGTAAATTCCATTAGAAAGGTTCTCAAAACAATAAATGGCCATACCATTTAACATAAGTTTTCAGGGAAACCTTAAATTAGTTTTTAAGTGTAATTATAATGAGAACATATTAATTCTATTTTCAAAGTTAGTATCATAATTATCATCAGTCAATTAAGGAAAACTTTAGGACAAATAATACTTACTTGCTGACTTCTTTATATTGCGCTATTTCCTCAATATAAAGGAGGTCGTGCAATCGTGACTGATAGTTACTCTTGGTCAGTGATTTATCCAAGACAGACTGTGTAAATAGCTGGTCAGCAGACAGAGGAATTTGGTATCTGATCAGAAGGCTCTTTTCCAATTCAGTAGTCTCATTTGGCTCAAACTCTACAATAGTTTTAGAAGTGGAATCCCAACGCTTGGCTGTAGTTAATAGTTGTTGCCGTGCATTCATCAGGTATTCAAGATCTGTATGCAGACAGACAAACATGAGAAGACAATAAACTGGCATTCTTCTCGCATACAGAAATATCCTTACCATAGTTATCCATACACTGGTAATAGGTAAAACCAGGATAGATTACTGCAATGTGTACATAGCACAGACTCCTTGATTTAGAACACAATACCAGGATTATTGTCTGAGAATATAGCTGCTCCTACTATTTTCCTGGGCACAATTCAAAGTGCAGGGTTTATCCTGTAAAGCCCTGAACAACATAGGACCAGCAAACATAACAGACCATCTGTTCTCATATGCATTTGCCCATTTTAAAATGATTTTTGGAGGTCTTTTGCTGAATACACTTACATTCAGATGGCTACCCGAACAAAGCCTTCTTTTCGTGTGTGAAAAGTGCCCCAGTAATTAAACACACATCCCAGAGATGTTCACCTGGCACCTTCTTCACTGAGTTTAAAGAAGCAATCCTAAGCACACTTATTAGGGAGTAAGTCCCATTGAATTAAATGGAATTTACTTCAAAGTATATACATGCTTATGATTGCAATGTTACGGAGCAACCTAAGCAGGTTTATTCAGAAGTAGTCCCATTATATTCAGTGGGGCTTACTCCCAGTAAAGTGTTCTTAGGATTGCAGTATCTGTCAAAATAATTTGATCTCCCTGAGCTTTAAATGATTTCTGCTTCTGCCTGCTGTATTGGTTTTCTTATATTTTTCACTTTTGTTCCTTCTACAAACTGCCCTGGAAATTTCATTTGAAAGGTAAAAAGAACACAGCTAAATACATTATGTGCATGTAATTAGAACAGAAACAGTTTTGTAGATTAAGTCTGTGACCCCTCACAGAGGCACTCTAAAACACTTATATGGAAAATAAGAGAAAGTTACCGAAGTTATTTCTCTTAGGTAACTAATATGGCTTGTCTCTTCAAAAAAAAACTCTCTCACCACTTAGTTAATCATTATCAGATTATATTACAATTAAACTGCAGATACAAACATCTATGCTGTAGGCAATATTCATAACTTTTACCACCCTAAAAACAGAGTGACAAAAAATTAAATATAATTAGAAAATGCATCAAAATTATGAGGCTGTCATTTGGAGATTTATACGTTCTGAAAAGCACCTGAAGAAAACTGAGTCTTTTACATACAGTAAATAAGTGGTTCCCGTAGCACCTGTTCATTAGAACATCACAAGCTTTTTTCATAAATCATACGTTTCCTGTATAATCCACCCAGAATTTCTTTTGTTTTCATCTACATGGTTATTGAGAAATCAGGTGTGAGTGGCAAAGCAAGATCACTCATACACAGCTCAATTCATCCTGTTCTCCAAATTCCCATTTTATGTTTGATACTAATCATATTAGACTTTAAAACAACTGAGGCAAGACTTGTTTATTGGGGTCTATACAGACACTGATGATTAAACCATTGTCAAATGATTTTGCATGCTGATTACTGTTGGCATTTTTCTATGGAAAGTCTCACAGTTTAATGCAAGGATCCACACACACACACCTTGTTAAGCCTTTGAGTATTATTGGAGTTTTGAGAACAGGTAGCATATGCCACCATAAATTGGCTTCCAAGGTAGAAAGAGCAATCACAAAATCACAAGCTAAGCATCCTCCTTTGCTTCTGAATTGGCGTTCACTACAGACCGTTGAATAATTCTCATGTTACATTCAATGCACATAAATCTAAATGTATGAATTAAACATATGCAGGTATTGGTCTCCTGTTTCATTTGTAAAGTGAATGCATGTTGGCTTACAGATATATGCATGTACATGCAGGATGTACGCACATTCACTGTAATGGGAACAGGGCTAGAAAAGTAATGCCTCCTTGGCTGTTCTAAAGCATATCCTGTTCCAGTGAGGTAGTGGAAAGACTGGACTGGCCTTTTGCTTTGGAGAAGATATGCTTTAGAACAGGGGTGTCAAACATGCAGCCCGGGGGCCAGATCAGGCCTGCAGTGAAACTGGCCATCTCCTGCTTCCAGTTCAGATGCTGCTGCTACTTTATAGCTTGCTTCGCCAGACTCTCTTAATCACTCAGCCATTTCATGTTTTAGCCTGGATCCTAGACTCCGAATTCTGAACATGAGATTTCTGTGGTAAATGTCAATAAATCAAAAGTAGGTTTGCAGCTTACAGAGCTAATGTTTTAAGCATGTTTTTATTTTAAGTAAAAAAAACTTTGTGTTTCTGTCCTTTATAAAGTTTTTATCTCCGCTACCTGGCATTACATTTTATGACAAACATGGCCCGGCCCAACAAGGTCTCATTTATGTCAGATCTGGCCCTCATAACAAATGAGTTTGACACCCCTGCTTTAGAAAAAGAAGGAATTTTATGAGGTCTCCATCATGTCTGCTAGCTCTCACCTGACTCAGTTATTTAGGACTATTAGGTCCCTTACATCTCTTTCAGAAAGAACCCAGAATACGAGAAATCTGGCCATAAACTGTAAGGCATTATCAATCTGTCCCTGGACTTGGGGGTCTTTCCAATGGGACTGAAGGAGGCAGTGGGTTGTCCCACTCTTTAAAAAGACCAACTTTAGATTCTATGGATCTGACCAATTACTGCCCAGTCTCGAACCTTTCATTTCTGGGTAAAGTAATTGAGGGAGTGGTGGCAAAACAGCTCCAGAAATTCCTGGAAGACACATCTGTGTTGGATCCATTCCAATCTGGCTTCCGCCCCAGCCACAGGATGGAAACGGCACTGGTCACTCGCACCGCCGATCTCCGCAGGTGGCTGGATTGAGGCGGGTCAGCGCTACTGATACTGCTTGACCTCATAGCAGTGTTCGACACAGTCAACTACGATCTACTGACTCACTGCCTCGCCAACACTGGAGTCTGCGGGTAGCCTTGCAATGGTTCACCTCATTCCTCCACAGTCAGGGACAGAGGGTGGCAATAGGAGGAACAGTGTCCCAAAGGCACCCGCTGGTATGCAGGGTCCCTCAGGGAGTACTTCTCTCCCTAATGTTATTTAATATCTATATGTGTCCCCTGGCATGGTGTTTCAGGCTGGGATGCCATCAGTATGCTGATGACACCAACTATTTCTACTGATGGGCAGGCGGCCGGATACCATTCCTGTAAATTTAGCTGAGGGTTTGGAGGCCATTTCTATTGATGGGCAGGCAGCCGGATACCATTCTTGTAAATTTAGCTGAGGGTTTGGAGGCCATGGTTGGGTGGTTAAAGCAGAGTCGACTGAAACTGAACCCAGGTAAGATGGAAGGTCTGTGGCTGGGTAGGTGGGAGCCACAGTTGGGTTGCCAACTTCCAACTCTTGATGGAGTGCCCCTATTGCCAGCACTGACCATCAGGAGTCTAGGTGTGACTCTGGATGACAAAATGGAAGCCCAAGACATGAAGGTTGCCAGGCTGGCGTTTCTCCAACTATGGTTTTAACTTTATTTTATACACCTTCATTGTAAGCCATCCTGCTTGCTGGGAAGGGCAGCCTAAAAAATCTAAATAAATAGATCAATCAATCTGAATATTATTCACACTTATTCTATTTCACTTCTATATGATCTATGCAATGTTGCACAATTACATACAACTATGTCATAGCAAAACTATAAAACTGGAAGCATCTCACTCTACTAGTAAAATAATTTTGAACATACTTAAACCATAGTTCAGACTAACTGTGGTAAATAAAGCAACTTCACATCCTTGCTTCATATACTGATTTGATGAGCCCTAACTAAGGCAATAATGGTGGAATATGTTCAGACAATCACATTAACTAATGTTAGCTAACGTTTCACATGATGTTTGATCAAAGACTTAAAGTTGTGTGATGTGTGAATACAGACATCTGGCTTAATCCAGACTTGTTCCCCAGATAACAGACAATGAAACCAGCATTTGTCAAAGCAAACCAGGATTCAACTGACCATCTGTAAACTGAGCCCAGGTTTCACGAACTAGCCGTAGTTTTGGGTGATGAGCCTAAATGAATTGTTTTTATTGCTGTAAACTACCTTCTCAGATCAAAAACATAAACATAATCAATCAATCCTTGATGTTAATATCTTGCATCCCCCCCATACATATGTTAACTACTTCAGCTATACCAAGGGAGAGAGCTTCACTATTATAAAGGCACAATTGTGATTGCTGCCTGGCAGCAAGGGTGGTGGTGATAGTGGTGGACTTGTTAGGGTAGTCCACCTCAGAGACTAATGTATCTTATTGGTTTCAAGGCAGCTCTAGAGGATTTTGAAAACCTTCCCAGTCAGTCTTTGGAGGTCCTTGTAGCCTCATAGAACAATGGCCTGCCTGGGACCATAAACAGAGTTGATCCTTAGCATCCTTTACCACACTCTGGTAGGACTCCAGCTCCATAGTATACCAGGGATCTGAGGAATACGAAACAGACTGGGAAACAATTACACCATCATTGGCAGAAGACTTGGAATGAATAAGAGCACACTGTATTCAGCTCAGTTGTTTAAAGAGGTTTGTGAACTGATAACAACTATGCCAAGCCCTGCTAATGATTTTAATTTGGACCCTAACTGGGATGTTTCTGAAAGGTTCTTTTCTGATAAAATCTCTAATCTGTTCCAACTTGGAGGCAGAGTTGAAAGTAGATTTGGTATGCAAGGTGTCAGAAATATCTTCTTCTGTTCTAGAAAAAAAATATTTGTTCTTTAGGACATCTTCTGCCTTGTTTGTGGATTTTGAGGTCCTTTGGACACTATTTCATGAAAGGATTCAGAGGAGTCTCTTGTTGTTTATTACCATTATTGTGACCATTATCTCTGAATTGTGACCACCAATTCTACTTTATTTATTGATGTAATGTTACGTTTCAAAAGACTTGTGTCTACTGGCAACTTGTGAAATTTGTATATTTGTTGATGGTCTACCCTTGTGTTTTTGTTTCTTGCTTGGGGTCCCTATTGTTTGGTTTATCTAGAAAGAAATTCAGCATGATCTTGCTAATGGATGGTGACAA